TTCTATAAAACAGCAATTTCTAAAAATTAAAAAATTTTTTTAAACTTGGAAGTTTTAACTATAAATTTTGTATACAATTTTGAATTGGTTTTTGTTTAGAATATGCTATATTTTTATAAAACATTAAATAATATTAAATAAACAAAACGAAAACTGTGAATACTGAGGATCAAAAGGGGTGCGCTATTCAAGTAGCCGGCACTGTATACCTACATACATATATGTAAGTAATTGTTTGTATATACATACATAAATATTTGCTTCTTGTCTTTATATTATAAATTTAATATTTAGCTTTAAGTAAAAAGGGCTTTATGTATTTTTCTGCTTTTTTTTGTTTTTATTTTCCCTTCTCACCAATTAAATCACCTTTGAATACAAAATATTTTGAACAAAAAAACATCTTGTTTAAAATACCAATTTGCAAACTGTTGACGCAAGGATATATTTTTGTTTTCTTTTTTTAACTATTGTATAACAAAAAGTAAGGTTAAGTACACTTGTAAATGTAATTGTACGATTACTTATTTAATTCAATCAATAATTTGTTGTTATTTGTAACGAAAAAAAAACTGGGCTGAATTTACCGTTATAACAAGTGTTCTATGTATTAAATACAAAAGCACACACGCATACATGCTTGTTAAGCGCTATTATTATGTTGTAAAAAAACATTAAAAATAAATAATAAAAAAATATTTGTATCTAAAACAAACTTTCCCCAAATTACAACTTTAAACCTTAAATAAAAATGTATGTAATGAACAACAACCAATGAATTAAAAATAAAGTTAGGTTAAAATCTTTGTGAAGGAAAAATGTATGTACATACGTGTAAGGAAATTATGTGTTTGTGCCTCAGGCTTATTTGTAAAAGAGTAAATGAAAAAAAAAGATTGAAAAAAAAACAAAAACAAAACAAAAAACGTCAAACGAAATGAATAATGTATATTATATTACTACATATTCTTATATCCATATACATGCATATACCGTTAGATAAAAACAAACGATGTACACATAGCTTATACATAAAAAATATACATACAAACATACATACATATATTTACCATATACGAGAAACAAATCTAAACAAAATTCAATTACAAATCATGGTAAAACAATTGTCAAATTTTCAAAATCGTCGTCGTATCGGCGGCGTTCAATTACAAAGTAAATGGAAAACAAAACAAAAACAAAACCAACAAAAAAAAAACGAAAAAACTGTGTACTCCAGAAATGAATGGCAACCAGAGAGTTGCTGGCAATGCGAGCGCATGTGCGCGTATGAGATTTTTGATTGAGTGAATATTGTAAAACTGACCGAAAAAATTAAACGGGAAGAATTTCCGAAATCCTTTATCAGCCACTTACTTAGGGTTTACACCAGACAATATTGTCAAGACAATTATGTCAAAATTATGTGATTGTTGTAAACACGGCGAATTCATATTACAACAAACACATCATTTTGACATAATTGTCTTGAGAATATTGTCCGGTGTAAACGCTAGGTAACATATGTGCTAAAATAAATAGCAATCAGTGTAAATTGCTCGTAGAAGCAGCAAATAGACAGACTAACAATAAAACCACAAACCGGCAGCAGCCTGCAAACATAAGTACATATGTACATATGTACGCGTATGCTATGTATGTACATATCCATATGGACATCCAGCAACCGCGAGATAAATATTAGCGTCTCGAGGTTACAAGCAAATAAATTAGCACCTACTACATACGCTAGCAAAGTTTTTACATTAAGCACGCAAAACTACAGCTAAATGAGCAATAAAAAAGAAATATGAAAACCGATCATACATACATATGTATAGTAAACAGTAGATATGTATTTCGGCTAGAACTTGTTTATTTTTCAATTATCCAACAACTTAAATTTAAATACAATAGACATTTAAAAATACTTACATACATACAAACATAGCTTAGATACAATCGGGCTCGCCCATACGCGTTGGCGTTGTCGTTTGAAAACGAAATATTTAACAACGACAATTTGGCATCATCGTTGGCGTTATCGACATTTATCGGAAATATATAGGTACTGCCCAATTTGAAACGAATGTGGTAACGACATAGAAACATTCGTTATCGCATTAGGGGTCTTCACACCGAAGCTTGGTACTCGGTAACACGGTGTTCGGTAATTTTTCCCCATGCATTTTGTTTTTGTAAAATAATACTAAACAAAGTACATAGGAAAAAATTACCGGATACCGTATTACCGAGTGCCAAGTTGGGTGTGAAGATCCCTAATGTTAAGAACTAAGTTGAAACGATTGTCTTCGATGTTTTAATATATTTCAAGAACGCGAACTTAGGATCGAACCGACGATAAAAATTACAATGACATAGAAACGACAACCAGTGTTGCCGTTTTAGTAGAATTCTGCAAAATTTGGTACACTACTTTTTTTTATTTAATTTTAATTTTGGTAGGTTGGTAAATTCGTTTTCCGTTTGATAGTTTTTGCCAGAAGAATTTTTGGGCTTTATTAATTTCAAAGAAACGACAAATGTAAAAGCTTAGACAGAGGGCAACGTTGATTCGGCTTAACGGCGCAGTTGATCTGATCAAATTTGTACTCTGACAGATGGCAGTAATGCGGATTAACAAGCCGCGAGGTCATGGGCTCGAGTACCACGGCCAACAGAATTTTCATATATTTGTATTTTTTTAATTTATTCAATTATTACTTTTATTTTTTTTTATGTAATTATAGTTATTGTGAACTTTGTTTATTAAAATTAATTAACTTATAATAAATTAAATAATGTGAAATAAAATAAAACAAAAGAAAATAAAATATAATATATAAATAAAAAAAAAATATTTTGGCAATCGCTCGAACCCAGGATCGAACCTAAGTCTTGCGCAACTCTCACCACCCGAAGGAAGTTCCATAGAGACCGGAATAGATATAAAACGAATGGAGGAACAAGGTCTGTGGCTGCGCATGTGGTTCAGCGTTGTCATAAGGGAGTACAAAACTTTTTTAGGTAATTAATTCTGGTCTCTTTTTTAATTGATCTAAAGAACTTTTCGCAGTAGAGGGTGGAAATATTAGTTTCCTCCTAGCAGCGGGCACATTTATTGCCCAATGTCGGAAAAAGCTGATTCTAAGTTTAATAGCCCAATTCTGTATCGACAAATTTAAAATTTTCATATATTTTTCCGTAATGAAAACTGTGACAAGAATTTGTCACTAATACAGAACAGAGCCTTAAAACTCATTTCTCATAATTTCACACGAAAAATTTATACATATTTAAAGAAATTACTCTCGCGTTGATCTAAATACGCTGAGAGAAAACTTCCGGGATGATTTCGAATTGGTTTTTCCACCAATTCATGGATCAAAGTTTTTCGAGCGATCGATGTGATCCATGATGAAATTATACCAAGTGTAGTAATAAGAGCGAGAAGAAAGATTTTTATGCCAGAAGCATGAATGTGCCAATTTATCAGTTTTGAGTTATTGGGTTGACTTGTTTAACCTTTAGTTGTTCTATGTTTTACCAAAACCCAGAATGCCATTCGTACACGGAAACCACATGTTTTACAATTTCAATTGCATAAAAAATTCGTAAAAAAAATTTCAAACTTGATTTCCCAAAATTTTCCTTTTTACACATTCATGTTTCTGGCATACGAGCGACGGACGACATTCAAATCAAAGCATTTTTTTAATCTTACCTTTTTTGAAGACCGATTTCAAAATTTGGTAATTTTTCTTTGAAAATCGGTCAGTTTCAAACGATGATAGTGGTCTTGAACTTTTGGTAGAAAAAAAAAAATATATTTTTGACGACAACGCCAACGGGAATAGGCCTGATTATAAAAATCGCATGCTTACAGTCGTTGATTAAGTTACAGTTAATAGCAAACACCAAGCAAACCCTCATTACGCCCCACCCCCGCAAAAAAAAATAAGTTAATAGCAATAATACAATAAAAATAGAATACAAGCAAATTATAATACATAAAAATAGTGTGAAAATAATGATTGTAATGTAATACAGAAAAACCACATGTGCATACAAATTTATTACGAGTCTACAAATGTATATACTATATACATATGTATATTGTATACATAGTGCGTAACAAAAATTACATACATACTACATAAATACATATATACACCCAAAACATAGAACTTCTTTTTGATAGAAACAAAGCATAAATGAAATAAGATTCTTAAGCCCAAAAGAAATAAAAAATAAATTAACAAAAATTAAAAAAAAAATATATATGTTTTTTATTGAAGTCCTAGAGATTTTACTCCATCTTCTTGTTTGCTAATACAAACGGTGTGAACAAACAACTTCCTCAATTTGCTGCACTTTCCTAAGTACCAACTGCTCGTTCTGTTTGTATTTCATATGGGGAAAAGCATGTTTTCGTATAAATGGTATATAATTCTTGAAAATCAATATTTTTCGATCGGAAAACTTCGTTTCTCTTCCGAAGACTTTCAAAAATAATAGCCAATTGTTTCTTTAACCATTTTCTATTACTTTTTTTTTATAGGACCTCTAAAGACCTCAAAAAATGCAACAGGGCGACCAATAAAAATCGCTATTATTAAAAAATGGTAAAATAAGCAATTAGGTATTGCAATCTCCTGAAGATCAATAAAATTTTCCGACCTAAAAAGAAAAAACTTGTATGCAAAAAACATGGAAAACGTTGAGCGCTTTGATTTAAAAAAAAAAAATTTTTGATTTCAAAAAAAAAAACTAATAAAAAAGGGGGACAATTTAGGTATAGAACAATCCTAGGCGGTGAGAGCATTAAAATTTCGACTTTACTTTTTCACATTCATTTTTTTGTTTGATCACCCTAGTGCACATAGAATTATTGTGGCAATAAAACAACGGTAATATTTTGTTAGAAATGTTAATGTATTTTGTTGCTGAAAATACACAAACAACACTATTTATTGATTAATTTTTTGGCGTTTTTATTTTTATAAATTATTTTAATATTTTTATTGCATATTTTCAAAACAATTTAAGGTTACAAATGTGAAACATGTATGTACATATGCATGCGTTTATTATTACAATATTATTATTATTATTATTATAATAATTATTACAATATGTTTTCTGCTATTCACTGTACATTCATTCACACATACAAATGCATTTAACAAATAAGTGTATTTGTGTTATTTTTATATAATTAAGTAATGCTTGATTTAATTTTCATTTTACTATGTATATTCGGTGCTACGCTTCGCTACGATATACATGCATACATACTAACAGATTTGTTATTAAGTATTCATATATTTTTTTTTTCATACTATTTTTTTCGGGTGCAATTTTTTATACACTTTATCCTTTTAATTTGCCGTTAAACTATAATTTATTATTTAATACCTTGTGCCGAAATATTTGGCTTTCCTGAATTATGCTTTTTTAATATTGTATTATATTTTTTTTTATTTTTATATTTTTATGTTTTATTTTTTTTTGCAATTAGCATTGGAAAACAGTTATCATACAAAAGGAGAGAAAGATACCAAAAATTAAAAAAAAAAATGCATTTGTTCTTTTTCATTGTATTTACATACGTATGTTATTTATTTGTTTTTGCAATATTTTAAAATAATTTTCATCCTACTAAATTATCGGCATTACATTGTTTTGGTTTATTTCGCTGAGGTGGTAAAATTCTTTGCCTTTTCTCTATACAAATGTATGTATAAGTTTTTCTACGTTGAATATTTTTACAAAGTTTCCGTTATTATTTAAATTTTACTGCCTTTAAAATTTGGTGTTTTTCTTTGCATGGTTAAGATATTTTTCTTGCTCCTGTATTTTTTTTGTTCCTCAAAAGTAAAAGTTTGAAGTAGGCGTGCCATGTTTTGGGAATTTTTCTTTAAGTTAAATATTTTTCGTTAACTATTACTATTTATTTCGGTTTTATTTACTTTATGCTGTGTGTATAAATTTCTCGACTTTACTTTTTGCGTGTGAAAAATTTATTTCTAAATTTTATGGAAAAAAAGGTTTAAGTTGACACTTGAAACATTTCGTTCTTTATTGTTTATTGTTTTTTTTTTTTAATATATTTTTCCTGTTGTATAATTCGCGAAGTATATGTCATATGTGTTTTTATTATTCACCCTGAGTAGGAATGCGAATACTTTACGAGTGTTCCAATACAAATTGTTGTTAAAATTCCCGCTATTGAAACGCTTCGACTGAATATCTGAGCTATTGGTTTGGAGTTTGAAAAACATTTTGGTTAAGACTATTTTTTTCCGATTATAAAATGTGTTTCTGATAAATTTGGCCAATACCTTTTAGACGCAACTCTGTGTTTGCAGTGCACTTCAGCTTAGATTTGAATGGAATTGGTCTTCACGGCTGGCAGCAAATTAAACTAGGATTAAAAAAAATATTCAGATGGATATAGAAACAAAGGTTTTGAAAATAGTATTCCTCTCTTTCTTGGATAGTTAGGTTAGGCGGGCTGGGCGAACCCAGTGGCGAAAATTTATCTTTAAAACTTTTTTTCTGCAGACCTTTAAAGACNCCCAGTGGCGAAAATTTATCTTTAAAACTTTTTTTCTGCAGACCTTTAAATCATCGTGATATTTTGACGAAGCTATGTATTTTCTTGAATAAGATGGTGTCACAGCTATATAGGTCCTCCTAGATAACGGAAGATTTTTCTGTGTAATGCGCCCGAAAATTCTTGAAGTCGTGCAAAATCTAAAAAGTCCGACAAATCTTGAACTGTTCAAAAATCATGAGAAGTCCGACAAATCTTGAAGTGTCTGAAAAATCTTGAAGTGGTAACGAAAAGAGTGAAGGGCAATCAAAAGCCGATATATTTTCCTATAAACGAAAAACGAGCTGTTGCTGTATTATACAAGTGGCTATGTGGAGTCCCTCCACTCGCGCACTCGTCAGCTTCCTCACTTCCCGAAGCAATGTGTTGTCTAAGAGATTATCTCATATCTGGTTTTTCGTTGACCAGCTAAGACCCTTAGCCGCAGTCTGAACGTTAATAAGAAAGATGAGATTTGAGGCTCAATATTCTTACCATAATATCGAAACCAGCTCGTCGGTTGCGTTATATTTCCAGTTTCTTTTACGGGAAACTTCAGTCTTCATGATCGGATAGTTTTCGTTTAATGGTTAGGTTATTCTTACAATAATTCTAGTTCTGAAAGTATTAAATGTGGGACGCGCTTCTAGTAGCAGGGAACATTTCCAATTTTCGTAAGTTGGCACTGGCGTACTTTATTGGACTCGGCCAAAATCACTTAAGTGGCTACAGCGCCAATCAAGAGGAAGAAAATCACTGAGACGGCTACGGTATGGATTAGAAGTCAGTAAGGCCCCTTGGAGGTTCGAGAGGATTTCCCTTTACATATACTTATACAAAAATGTAAATATGTTTGCCAATTGTTGTAACTTTTTGAAACTCAGCAACTATCTCCTACCAAAAATCAGTTTCTTTAGAGGACTTCAAGTTTTTATAGTAAAGACTGGTTCTAAAATATGTCCATGTCTATGAATCATTGTATTATATTAGCGAGGGGCGGATACTAGCCAGCGGTAGCAAAATTTATTTGCCCCGAATACGACCTTAAGAGAACGTCTAATATGTAAGTGAGGTCCTTGCTTGACGCGGCAAGTCACGTTAGCGTCCCTTCTGCGCCTTTACTCAATGACTGCCCCCAAAAGAGGCTTGATCGCCTGCAACAAAAATGTTGATTTTAACTGCTTCCGTTATATAGTTACGGGTAACTTGGGAGCAGTGGACAACTAATTATTGGAACTACATATGAATGTACATATGTACATGTACATGTATATGTACTAAATCTTCTTTTCTTAAGCGGTCGCTCCTCGGAAGGGAATCGCAAACGTTTCAGTGTACTTCTGACTTTCGGAAGATGCCAATTATTTTTGTATAAAGATACGAATAGTTGAGCGGAAAAATAAAACTCTTTGGTAGAATGTTAATTTGTATTTGTACTCAAATTATATAATACCAGAAGAGCAACTTACTGCCGAAATTTGGCCGTCCCGAAGTTGTATCTACGAAAACTTATTCATCTTCGCTTTAGTTGCTATCTTCATGTGCATATGTATTCGCCTCGTGTTAGTTTTCGCAATCAGCTTCGTGTTCGTTTTAGTCGCTGTATTCGTATTCGTCTACGGAATGTATCCTCGTCACATTTTTCTTCGTATTCAACTTCGACTTCGTCGTCGTATTCGTCTTCGAATTCATCTCCGTATTCGTTTCAGTGCGGTCTTTCTATTCATCTTCGCAAACAATTGCGTATACGTCCACGTGTTTGAATTCATCGAGATATACATATTCGTATTTGTCCTCGTATACGTTTGTATTCATTTTCATCGTCGTATTCGTGATCAAAAGAAAAACACGTTTCCAATGATATTTTTGGTTTTAAACGAAGGCCGAAAAAATGTATGTTAGCGGTAAAAGCCTGGGCCCGAATCGTAGCATTCGATACCGAACGTAACTCGAATCGCAATTTCATGGATTCGCGAAAAAACGATTTAAAGATTTGAATTGTAATATTAGACAAAATATTTTCGTCTATAACTTTATAAATAGCAGTTGCAGAATACGATGGCATATATAACCCAATTCTTTCTTAAGTCGACTTAGGTGGTTATTGCTTCTGACCACACATATACTATATGTACATAGATGGGGCCGCTGTGACGTTAGTGGTTAAAAGTGCGCACCACCATTCCGTAGGTCCTAAGGCGAGCCCAGTTTCCAACTAATATCAAAAACCAAGTAAAAGAGTAAGTTTTTTCTAATAGCGCTCGCCCCTCGGCAGCCAATGATGGCAAACAAACCTTCGAGTGAATTTCTACCATGGAAAACAGCTTCTCATAAAAATACGCTCTCGCAAATACCTATTGTTGGATATCCATATCTTAGCATACACTGTTTTACATATTGTTCAATATCTCCGGAACGGGTCGAAATATCAAATTGTGGTACAGCTCAAATCACTTCTAACTTTTCCTTAACTTAAGTGTGTAAACTCCAAAGAGATCGGCCTCTTAGTTTCAGAATCTATAGGTAAGAAATATACATATCTACATATATATCGACCCCTAATCGCCAAAAAGATGTCAGCCAAATTGTTTTCGAAATTGTATTTTTATGCAGAAATACTCCTCCAGCATCTGAATGCATTTCCGCATTAAAAATAAAATATTGAAACAATTGTCGCCTACGTCTGTGCGCCATTCGAAGACGGTGTAAAACTGTAGGTCCCTCCCCTTTGTGTGGTCACATCAAGGCGCCATTATTATTATTAAGTATATTAGATAAAAACTTTTTGGATGTTGAACGCACCTGCTGGACTCGAACTATAGCTAAAAATTCGGATAAGCTAATGTGTAACGCTGCCTTTGTGTCGGCAACAACCATCTTTCAAATCACCAAGCCGAGTGCACTTGTCGCCACTTGTCAAGCGTCGCTATACTATCTGTTACCTTTTATAATTATTAATTCCACCGATTTTTTATTTGCTTTCTATTTTCCAAACATTTTCAAGAGCACCATTTTTTTTCTTTTAATTAAAAATTTTCTCCTCCATATACTATTAACGCTGCTTATGCGTTCTTATGTAATTTTACTCTACTATTATATTGCATTTCTGATCTTATTAAAAATTTCTGCATTGTTTAATATTTTTTTTTTTGACGCTTTCTTATTAACTGGTAATAAATTAATTAAATGCCATCATTTGTTGTTGTTGTTACTGATTTTTTATTCATACATACATACATTTTTTGCATTGTTCGAAACAGCTGTTACATGCGTTAAATAATATTTATATTTTTTATTTAAATTTGTTATAAGTTTTATTTTTTATTTATTTATTTTTTCACAAACTGTCGTTTGATACATTGCAATTTAAAGTAATAAACTTTTAAATTTTTTCCTGAACGTGAATTGTTTGCCGGTTGCACTTAATTTAAAGTAATTATTATATATGTATATAATATGTATATATTTTTATTTTTTTTTNAACTTTTAAATTTTTTCCTGAACGTGAATTGTTTGCCGGTTGCACTTAATCTAAAGTAATTATTATATATGTATATAATATGTATATATTTTTGTTTTTTTAAATTTCAAATATTATTTTACGATTTTTGCAATATTTAATTCATAAATATGTATGTACTATCATTAAATTATTTATTAAATTAATGTTGTTTTTCATTATATGTTCAATTATTTTTCCGCTAGCATTTACATTATTTATACATATTACTATAATTAATTGGTAAATATTTTTTAACTAAATTGCATACTTCCTTCCCTACTTTGCATATTTCATACTTTATTACTTTATTTCATTTTTGTGTTACAATTTTTGTTGCTTATTTTTTCTCGATTTTTGCTATATTTATACATATGTATATCTGTGTTACCCTTTTTTAAATGGTATTATGTATATATATTTTTTTTTAATTGTTTACTGTTGAATTTGTCATTGAATAACTTTTTACCGTTGCATTGTTTGCGTTGCTTAACTCTTTTTTACAATAAATCTACAAATTTTCTGCACTCCAATTTACGACCCCTTGCTAAAAATTCATATTTTTTTTAAATCTTATTTGCTTTTGCGCATAGAAGTATGTATGTTTGTAAATGAAACATTTTTTGTTAGCAACTAGCTTCGCGGCGTTAGAAAAACTTAGGCAAATCAGAAATTGGAAACGGAAATATGCATTCGTTTTTTCCTCGTTACACAAGTGTTCGCTGCCCAAGCTTCGATTAAATTTGGTTAATTTGCGTTGTATACAAAATTCTTTCCATTTTTTTTTTTTTTTGCTTACAGTTCAAGCTTAACCCCAAATTTTCGCTAGTTTAAAATTTTTAAATTTAAATACTCACAATTCAAAGGTAATCAGTACATCAGCAGCAAAACTTTAACATTTCCACTTAATTTAGTTTGCAATTTATATTCGGCCCTATCGCGAATTTCACATGAACAAATATTCCCAAAAATTATAAAGCAAAACAAAAACAATTTTTCCCAAAATTTGTTTTTGTTTTGCATGTTAAATTATGGGAAAGATTTATTCACACGAAATTGGCGATAGGGCTGAATATATTTATTGTGGAAAAAATAATAATAATTTATAAGTTATTAAAATTTCATAGTATACTTAAAGAATAAAATTTAAAGAAAATTTTTAACAAACTTTTATTACTTAAATTAGTTTAAGCAGTGCAGAAAACTGGGTGTTAAAGTTAAATAAAATAAACATTTGCAAATTTAACAAGAAGAGAAATTATATAAGAAAACCAAACAAGAGTCTTGCATTACAAAAAAAAAAATTAAATAATTTCAACAAATCTGGGTAGTTTAAATTTAACCAGTGTGATGTTATTCTGTCAACCAGTCTCATATAATGAACTTATAAAATAAAGTGATTTCCAATAACGACAAAAAAACTAGAAATTATTTGCAGACAGCAATTTCCAGCTTTGCTTTTATAAAAAAAAAAACTAAATGCGGATTAAACGTTGGTGTCCGGGCAGCTTTTTATTTGCTCTCAAACCTTTTTTGTCGCATCGGACGCTGACGCTGATGGTATTGTTGCCAACAGACGGAACTATGATTTTGAGAAGAAATGCTACATGCAATTCGCTACCAAAGAAAAAAAGAGCGTGTTAAATTACTAACAAAAAGTATCCAAACACGAACGGCGAATCCGCTTTAAGTAATGAAAAAAAAGTTCAGTTACCTTACCATGCACGAAGTAAACGGCGAGTACGTTGTATATAATTTTCATATTCCAATTAAGAAATTGGAAATTAAAAACTTCTACTTGATTTGGTGAAAGAAGAAAAGGCATTTTTCCAAGCTTTTGATATTTTTCGAACGAGCTATAGCGCATAGTAAGGTATCAAATGAACTAAACTTAAGTTAAAGATAAAAAAATTTGCAGTATCAATCAACAAATTTCTTAACAACGTCTTATTTTTCAGATAAAGTTGAAAATATTTTAGTGTTTAAAAATAAATTTTAATTAAAAACAAAAATCAATAAAGTGGACTGCTGTAAAAGATAATTTGCCTCTCAAGCATAAAAATCAGTGAGCGAAAAAAACGTTAAATAATTGAAGATTTTTTTTATGATCATTCCAAAATCGTTTTTTTTTTTATTTTGATTTTTCCGATTGAGAAAAATAGTTAAATTTGGACTTTAGTTTTTTTCGATAATTTTTAACCGTTATGATGGACTCAGTGTTTTTATGACCGATTTAAATATTTTATGATCTAAAAAATTATATCTGAAAATAACGGTTTTAATATGATCGAAAAATAACTAGTCATTTTTAAGCAAAAAAAAAAACGGCCGACTTAAATACATAAATAAATAAATAAAAAATTAGAATGGGACCACCCTTGAAGTACAACCTTTCATACATAAAAAAAAAATATTCCGACAAATTGATAATTCCCTTCTTCTTTTTAAGTCGGTTAAATATCATAAATAACTGTTAGATTTGATAAGAAAAATATAAATCCAATTTTAACGGTTAAATTATGATTTTTTTTTTATAAAGATTATAACCGTTACTGTCCCTGATAAAAATTGAGCTTAAGCTCCGATTCGATTTTCGGTATAAATTTTATTTGAGCTTAAAAGCTTACTTTATGCATGAAGCCCAATGTGGCTAAAGTATCTAAATCAAGGGAGTTTTTTTTTTTTTAATTTCATCTTAAGCTGTGCCAGAGAGAAATTATTGCGACCACTATATAGAGCGTACTTAGGTCGGTCCCTTTA